TGCTGAACCTGTGGGTGACTCCCTCCACATCTTTGAGCCTCCACAAAGGGGCTGGGCAAAGCTCTCTGACACCAGGAGATCCAAGGTGCAAGACTGCAACCTACTGGTCCAAAGCCACAACAGAAGTTGAAGCAGGCTGTGGGACCCAACTGACTGAGGTTTCACTCCAACTCCACTAATTATTAGCCATGTGATGAACTGCTCTGAGCCACAGTTTTCCAATCTGTGAAATGGGATAACAAGCCTCCCAATAATAGGGATACTGGGAAGACTCAAATATTATAGGACTTTGCCCAGTATGAGAGCACTTAATGAGTTCCCTTCCTCGCCCTGGAAGGGAAACAAGAACACCCCTGTAGTAGGCTGAATAATGATCACCCAAAGACATCAGGCCCTAATCCCTGGAACCTGTAAATGTTACAGGAAGAGGATCTTTGCAAATGTGGTTAAGAATCTTGCGATGGGGAGATTATCCTGGAGTATCAGGGTAGGACCTAAATGCAATCACAAGTGTCCTTAGAACAGCAGAGGAAGACCTGATACAGACAGAGGAGGAGACCACCCATACACAGAGGAGAAGCAGGCAGAGGTCAGAGTGATGCGGTCAAAAACCAAGGAATGGGAGCAGCCATCAGAAGCTGGAAGAGGACTGGATTCTCCCATAGAGCCTGTGGAGTGAGTGTGGCCCTGCCAACACCTTGATTTGGGCCCAGTGAAACTGATTTCGGACTTCTGGCCTCCAGAACTGTGAGAGAATAAATTTCTGTTGTTTTAAACCACCCAGTTTGTGGTAATTTGTCACAGCAACCACAGGAAACAAATACAACCTCCTTGTAGCACTCCCTTGTGTGAGCTGTGAGGCAAAGTGGCAATGCTCACATCCCACAAGATCCACCCTGTTTGCATCCCCCCAGGGAAAGGGTTAGAATTAAGGCTGCAGGGGCCTGGAATCCCCCCTCCCAGCCTGGGAAGCTGCTGACTCTGTCTATTGATGAATGAGTTGCCACTGAAATGGGGAGGAGGCAGGGGGAGATGGCAGCAGCAGTGACAGCTCATGGACAGATATCTTCCCAGAACCCACGGCCAAGAGGTTTTTAGTATTCTGGGCTACACAGCTCTGTCCCAGCAAGCCTGGTGCCAAGACCACCCCTCTCTCCCCCAAAATACCCAGGAACACTGGCTCTGCTCCACGGGCTAAACATAGGCAACCCATCCAATGAGAAACAGACAGACACACTGCTAAGGACTAATACAAGCTCTCCAGGGCAGAGGAATCGGA